AAGTCAGTGCTACTAGTAAAGCAAAGAAAAAAATTGAAATCCTTGTTTAAAGTCAATATATAATGAAGAGAAAAGGTGTTACTGATGAGAAAGTGGGCAAGAAACTAATTACATGTCGTTGATCAGATGCCTTGTTCTTGTTGTTGAAATAAGATGATGCTGCTGATGTTCTGCCTAAGGTAGAGTTAAATGGAAAAGGGAGAAGACCTCTGAACCCGTCATCTATCCACCGAACCTCACTCACATAATCAGGAACAAAAAAGGATGATGGAAAACGATGCCACGCACTTCCAATGCAAAGGTTAGAACCTATATTACATGTCACCAACATAATAGTAAGAAACGCACATGAACTAACTGGTGGAGAGAACCGTGAATGCATTGATCCACAGACGCTTTGAGGTCCATATCCAACAGGACAATCCTCATTACACACCATAAAACATGTTTAACAAGCAAAATGTGGCTGAAAATCAGGAAAAAGAACATTGAACACGTATTAAATATACATTACTAGTGGCAAACACAGTTTGAATGCAATTTATACTACACAGCTAATGATTTGATTCAGTGCTGATTTTAATTGGAAAATTTGCTTTTTTTGGTCAACTCTATCATATTGATGCACTAGTATAGATACACATCTCTTGGCACTTAGCAGATAGTTTAAGCCCTTGTTTGACAACCATTATTTGAAAAAAACAATGTTTCAATAGTGAATTTTAGGAGAATGTGTGGTTAAAAAGTAGTGAAAAGTTTTAGGTTTACGTGCAGAATATTTTATTGTGTGAATGTGAGGTTAAAATTGAATGTATAGAATAAAGACCTTTCGAATAATGGTTGTCAAACAGGGGTGGGCTACGAAATGTCGCATCATGTTGACACCTCCCACAACTAATTAGAATTAAAAATCTATCCTCCACTTTCTAATGGATGTTGCTAAATGAATTTGAATACACGTGCGTCATTTTTTCTCAAATTTTCCATATCCAAAGAGTAATGCAGTTTGGAATCTAAGTGATGCTTTAATATTTTGTAATGAAACTCTTTAACAACCAGTAATAAGAAGAATGCCTTACAAGATGGGATGAACAGCAGTATGTATTTAAGTCTAAAGACTTGATAGTATATAATTGCTCCCAATTTTCACAATAGAATTGTTGTGTATACGCTTAGCTTCAAGAACTGAATGTCTATACCATTTAATTTAAAGCAAACCCAGTGTTTTGGCGCATATAAGTCTATAGAACCAAAACAGATCACAAGCATCCTTTGTTCTCTCTTGGCGGTACAATTCTTTAATAGCATAGACACAGGCTCTTCCTAAATTTGCTAAGTGGAGAGCATTTCCAACAAACAAAGCATGTTCTCAAAACAACCAAATTCAGTCATTATTGTTCTCTTATTAGAATAATTTTGCAAGTTTCCTGTTAATGGCAATGTAATCGTTAAAATTTCAGTCATTACTATTCTCTTATTGGGATAATTTGGCAACTTTCCTGCTAATTGCAATAGATTTGTTAACAAAAAGGAGATGGTTGATCATCAAACAAAGTTGTATTACTATTCAGATCAAATAAGAATTTAAAAAAATGAAGAAAACAAGTAACATAGACAAAGTTCAATACTTTCTTATTCATATTATACCCCCAAAATTTAATTCCTTCTTGTTTGTTAGTCGAAATATAAGGCATGAAAATTCAGAAATTCTTCTAGACAAAAAACCCTTTAAGATGAAAAGGAGATGATCCACAAGGTTCACGACATGTAAGTAATGACTAGAGATTAGTCCATGCTATTCCAAGATCAATGAAATGCAACACTGATTCTTACCTGTCCCTGCATCATCGTGGTGCTCCAAATGCTTGTATATTTCTAAAGGAGAAGAATAACCATTAGTCAAGGAAAACGTCCTGGCATGGGGAAGCACACAGAATGAGTCCAAGTACCAGAGGTCTCAAACCTTTTGCTATCTGTAAGGGCAAAGCAAAGGTAAGTTCTAAGTGGCCGTGATCATCAATCAACACAACACCGCTACAGGAATTCGGAAGTTTACCACAACAAGCAGAGAAATATCATTGGGATTATACTTATCCCGAAACAAGACCAGAAAGCTCTCAATGACAGCTGAAGCAGCAACACAAATAAGTGGATATATTGGATAGAGGAATCTGCAAAAGGACAGGAAAATAACGAATCATCGATTAAGATACATATTTAAGTAACACTCTGGGAATAGGCAAAACCAGTGATCAACAATTAGTATTTCATTGTTAATTAAAAAAAATAAAGGAAAAAGAGAAAACAAAAGGATTGAAAAGATTTTTCTATTAGGGGATGGGGCTGGGGGTGGACAGATAATTTTGATCTAACCTTTCTTCCTTGTGCGGCTGCAAAGACATAAAAGCTAGCCAGATATAGATGGGCGAGATGATAACCAACAACTCTGGAGCATACTTCTTCCTTGCAATTGGGAGAATGGCAATGAAAAGCAGAGCAAGAATGAAACAGAAGTTGAAGTTATTGAAGCCATTTAACGGCCCTTCAGTTCCATACAAATGACTCACTCCACCGCCCATGACATTATATATCAACAAATTGAGAACAGATGATGTCCACTTTCCATAATAGAAGTAGTCAACACAAACTGAAACTGCCTGAAAAAACATTGAAGTGTCTGTCATACGATACGCTTATCATAGGAAGAACAAAAAAATCGCAGTACGGGATAAGATTCATAAATCTTATAAGATAGCCAATAATAATTGAACGTGAAATTTCAAAAGAAGTTTGAGTTATTTATCAATTTCATTTACCACAAGACCAAGAGAAGTGACAGCGCCAGATATAAATGCATATTTAAACCTCCTAAATAGAGAGTAAACTGTAACTGGAAGAAACGCCAAGATTGAGAATGGCCACCCAAGAATAACTCCAGCGGCTGCAATAGATACTGCTGCTGCAAGGTTCCCAAAAGGAAATAATGCTGAAGAGAAAGACATCGCATACATAGAGAATGAACTTGGCAAGAAACCTGTGGTTGAAGTCCGTACAAAAGATTTAAAAAAGGTGGAAAATTAGTAAATTTTTTTATAAAAATAAAAAAGAACAACTGTGAGTAAAAAAACCTAGTCCTCATGGTCACATAAAAATGCATAACCAATGAATTATAAAAAAGAGAAAAGAGTGCGGGCTAGGTAACAATTATTTCAACGACATGCTAGTGCTAGCGAAGAAACAGCCGTTTGCTAAGCATAGCATTGCAAGTGTATATGAAGCAAGACGTTTTCCATACTTCCTGGATAGGGCTACAACTAGGGCACCATCTGCCATGACCGAGAGAGAGCCAAGAAAAATTCGTACCACATAGAAGACTTTCAACTGAATTATGTAAGCTTCTTCAGCACAGAGAATCAAGAAATGAAAAGAGAAAAAAGAGAGAAACCAGAATCAGCAAAAAGTAGTTCAGGATTCCGGCAGAAATATCCCACTTTTTCGTCATGAAACCACCAGGAAGCAGGCCCACCAGCCAATTCATGGAGAAGAATATACAAATATGACCGTAATGCAAACTGTGAGCTGCAGAAGGCCAAGCATTTGATGAGAAAATATTTGAGCTGTTTTTTACATGCATACATACAAAGACTACGTTCTGGAAAACAAAGAAGATTAAATGAACAAAGTATTTAATCAATTGACATAATGCAATGCCATTCCCAAGTCTTTTGTATCGACTGACGGAGACAAAATGCGTCAATACCAGAGACAAGACACAAAATTTAAGCAGCTTTCTTCGCTCTCACAATGTTCTGTACACCAATCTACTTTATATTTGAAACAAAAATCACAACCTGAAAGGCGTAAATTTTACCCTAGACTCAGGAAGTTCAACTACAACCAGTGTACAGTGAGTATGTCATATACATTCCACTATACAATTAACCCACACCCATTGCGGGCCATTGACAGCTTCAAACAAGAAACTATAACTAATTACAGAAATTAGAAATCAAAACATACAAGTACATTCAAACCTGTTTTCCCAGGTCTGAAAGCCGGACTTGTATAGGAGTAAATGGAGGGGCTCCCAGTAATTAAAAACCTCATCGCAATCGTGTACGATGTTTGATGTGGCGCTCATATACCTCAACATCAGGAGCGAATCCTGAGCCAGGGCGGCTGTTGGTGGTATCGTTTATTAATATTAAATTAAATAATATTAAAAAAGATTCGATATATGTAAATACACTAAAACGTAAAAATTGTATATTTATATCATATTATAGTTCAGTACAGTTCAAAAGAATATAAATTACATGATACATAAACTTCTTTGTGTTATTAATGTTTAACAAATCGTTTGCTTGACTAAAAGTAGTTGAGAGATTAAAGGCCTATTCGGTAGTGATTATGAGAATTAATCTTTTGATTATTAGAGAGAAAAGTGGATTCTACCTATGAGTGAAGAAGTCAAAATTGACCGTTTGAATAGTGAAATAACAATCATAAAATTGATTTTTTGGAGTAAAAAATTATTACCAAACGAGGGCTAGATACACCACTACAAGAACTAGATTGAAATTCAATTGAAAAAATCATTCCATAATCAGTATAAGAATTGAAAGTTAATCAAAGATTAAACGTAATTAAAATTAATTTTTTAAATATAATTAAAGTTTCAATTTCCAATTCTCAACACCAATTCATTATAAATTATAAATTTCCCAATTTCTCATTTTCAATTTTCATAAATCACATATTCACATTTCACGATAATCAAATTAATTTTTAGTATCACAATTCACAGCAAACAAATTATCAAATAACATATAAATTAAAACTCAATACTCATAAGTCATATCTTATAAATTATTAAAGTATAAAATATTTAAAACGACAAAAACCAACAAAAAAAAATAGTCATTGACTCGCCTATAGTCTTAACATATATTATTTTGTTAAATTTAGATTTAAAATTCAACCATTGCCATGATGGTTAAGTTTTGAATCATCCTAACTAGAGGTCATAGATTCGAATCATTTCCTTGGAAAATTAATTTTGGTAAATATTGTAGAAATAAAAATTTTGTACAATAAAATGGACGAAAATGACTTGAACTCAACACTCGTAATATATAAATGCAAGCTCTAACCAATTAAGCAAAAAAGAAGTTTGACAATAAAATGAACTACACCACAACCTATATCCACCCATGCTCAACATCCCTAGCGCCACCATCGGCAGGAACCAGCCAAATCCCTTCTTCCCATCGCCGCCTTATTTTTCCAGCTTGTCCAACTTCGGGTATGGCGTGGACGACGTCACGTACATATCCGCCGGAAACTGACCCCACTACCTCTTTGTAACCGCCATTTCCTCTTCTTCTCTCTAGAAATTTCTTTCCTTCTCTGTATTTGAAGTGGAGAAATTTGATGCTTTTGCAAAAATGATTCATTAAGGCCCCGTTTGATTACACGAAATTTTTCATGGAACTTGGAATTCGAATTCCAACTTCCACTTTTGGCCTGTTTGATTGACAAAATTTTCCAGGGAATTGATTTTCCATGAATTTCTAAGTACAACACCTTAAAGCGTGATTTTCCACCTTTTTTTTCTTAGGGGATGGGTGGTTTTTGGTTTTCCACCTTATTTTTATTTTATTTTTTTTTTGCTTTTTTTATTTTTTTTTAATTGTTGGCAATGGGAACAAATTTTAGGAATAATTGTAAAAGAGGATATCCCTGAAATTGACAATTTTCACGTAAAACAAAGTCAAACGAACATCAAAAAATACTTTTACTTCAACATTTTCCACATGAAAAATTTATACAATCAAACACAATAATTTACAATTTCCATGAAAACAATTTATAGGTAATTCAATTCCCTGGAATTCATTTTCTTTCCATGTAATTTTCCTACTTGTAATCAAACGCACCCTAATTGTGTATGTGGAAATGAGTAAGAGCCTGTTTAGGAGTGATTTTGAGAATTGATTTTTTGACAAAAGTGGAGTCTACCTGTGAAAGAAGAAGTCAATGACGGTTGAAATAGTAAAATAATGGTAAAAAAATCAATTTTTTGGAGGCAAAAAATCGCTCCCAAACAAGCTGTAAATTTAATGAATTCTCATTCAACTTTAAAATTGTTACCAGTTACTGACTGAATTTTAACGAGTTACTCACTCATCTTTATATATGGTTATCCATCCAACACTCTTAACTCCCATCTCCCTAAATAGACAAAAATGTACACGGGGTTTTACAGAAATAATTTTGGTTAAATGTTGCCAACTTGGAATGAACCACGACTTCACATTAAAATAATTCTTCAGCTTTCAACATTTCACGACATCCTTCTTCTAATTTCTCTTCTGAATCCTACTCTTCCAAATCCAAATTTCTCTTCTTCAAAATTGCTCCTAAAATGAACCTTCTTATAGTAAAGTTTGGACATTCTTCTCTTCTCTGGATAATGGAGGACTTAGGTGACCCACAAGACCCTTATATGAAATACAATAATTGTATGANGTTTGGACATTCTTCTCTTCTCTGGATAATGGAGGACTTAGGTGACCCACAAGACCCTTATATGAAATACAATAATTGTATGAAGATGCACTATTTGGTGATGATCCCATTAGATCCTCAGATGTTTTAAGAAGTGAAGTTTTTATTGTCTGATTGGTAATACAACTGAAATTAAGTTATTAATCTGATCTTTCTTTCTCTACAATTGAATTGACCTCTGCATAGCTTAGTTTTTAGTTGGGAAGCTTCAAGTGCAAAGTTTAATGGTGGGGGAAAATGTCTTCACTGCAATCTGATGCACCTCAATTAGCAACTTCTTAAAACTTGCTAGTATGGTGATTCTCAAATGCAAAGAAGTTGTTCCACCCATTCTGACATGCAAAACTTGATTAAGAAGAAATACTTTTCTAGGATCATTTCAGTGAAAGGCCTTAATACATTGACCAAACCGGTAGCAAAAATGCCCCCCACTGCTCTGTCCCCCTTCCTTCTCATTAACTTGGTCGTTGCAACAACAGTACCTCCACTCTGGCCTCATTTTTATGCGAAAACTTGCTCAGAAGCTGAACATATGATCAGTTTTAGAGGATTGGTGTTCTAGTTTCGGATTGTTTGGAGGTTTTGATTACAAGATTTTGATTTGGGTTAATAATGTAAAGGCGTGTTTGTTTGGTACGTTTTTGGTGACTTGGACATAATTAACACCGTTAATATGCCACGTAGATTTTCTGTTATCTGTGTAATTTTCTGTCTATTTGAAGAGATGATAGTTAAAATAGCAGTGGATGGACAATTATATACAAAGATGAGTGAATACTGGGTAATCCATTAAAATTCGATGAGTAAGTAATAACAATTTTAAAGTTCAATGAAAATTCATTAAATTTACTCGTGGAAATCAGTTGAGGATTTTCAATTAGGTCCCTATGCTTCCATTTTTTATGATTTTATCTCGATTTATTTCACTTTGTTCGATTAGACAACATTGTCTAATGGCATGACTGTTAAATACTATCATCCTATGTCGCCGTCAAAACATGACCGAAAAGAAGTGATACAACTGAAAATAAAAATGCCCATGACCTACAATAGAAACCTTCATCCAGTTCGGTGGGTTAACCGTGAAAGATCAACCCACGTCGTCGAGCCTAAATCATAATTTAAATCACCTAGTTTGCTCTGCAATTTGACTCCCATTTCTTAAAATTTATTTTCTCAAATTCATTTTCAGTAACATATTTCATAGAAACCGCAACTTTAATCGACTTTTCAGTCAGACATTTCATCAATGTTTATCAAAATTTACCGAAAATATGATTTTTATCAAACAAACTTGGGCTAAATCATCCGTGCACGATAGATAAAAGGATAAATTCCATTGCAACATTGTTATTGAAAGGTACAATATAGTAATCCTAAACATCGATCAAAGCTGATTGTATTCAGCATAACAGTGTTCTCACATATAAAAAGCCTGCTTTCAAGGAGTGACCAGTCGGAACCGAACATATTCCATAAAATCCCGTGTAAGTCTCTCATACAAAAGGATAAAAAGAAATAAACTGAAATTAACCGGTGTTCTGCAACCCAGCTGCAATACCCTTCATGGTCAAGATGAGGGTGTCCTCCAATCCAGGGGCATACTCACTTGTCGGGTTCAACTTCACAAGTTCAGCAGCCGAGCTTGATTCCATATAATCTTTGCAGATATGAGGCCTCAACTTCACGTGATAGTTTTGATCACGAATTCGCTTAAGAGCGTAAGCCTGGCTCACATTCAAAGTTGTAATGTACGAATCACGCAAACGAAGTCGTTGCTTCAAGTAGGGGTCCCCTTCTAGAAGATCCTTATGTCCAGCAATCTACCAAAAGCGGAATAAGTCATTCAAAATAATCTCCAGCACTTGTTTTAAAGCAATAAAATGAACAGATAATCAACCAAAATTTCACAATTTCAGACGTTTTGAAGATATTACCTGAAGAAGAAGAGACTTTGTTTCCTCGTAGTTGGCCCTCAAACGCTGACCAAACGACCAAAGATCTTCTGAAACGAGGAGTTTATCATAAAGAGCAGCAATACCAGGGTCTCCCTTGGCAAACACCATCTCAACTAGATCGATAGTGACTCTAAAGAAAGGCCACCCGTTGTACATTTCCTGTAGCATTTTGAGGTTCTTTATGTCCTTTTGGAGTGCATATTTAAAGGCTGCTCCAAAACCAAGCCAAACAGGGAGATGAAATCTGGTCTGAGTCCAGGCAAAGATCCATGGAATAGCTCTGAGTGATTCAATGCCTCCACTTGGTTTCCGCTTTGATGGGCGACTACCGATATTCATCCTACCGTACTCCAATTCTGGTGTAGCCTAAAATAATAAAGAAAAAAATGTTTTCGTTACTCTAACAGATATCAAATTAGTGATCTCCTTGCAGACAAAGAAAATATATGACACATCATTTTAGTTACTCACAAGGCGGAAATACTCGACAAACCGGGGTTCTTTGAATACAATTGAGCGGTACTCTTCTGTGGAAGCAACAGCAATTTCATCCAAAAGTGCACGCCACTCGGGTTTAGGGGCGACAGGTGGATGCATCCCATGCTCAAGTGTAGCAGCAGTA